TTATTTTATTTTTTTTATAAAATAAAAATTTATTTGATTTTTCTTTATTTCCTATGTACTTTAATTTTGTTTTGAGTTACTATAATTTGCTTTACCCACCTGGATTGAGTAGTATTAGGAATTTCATACACACATAATCGCCCATGTCGAATTTGAGGTCTTGCAGACGATTTTGCAGCTCATTGAAATAGTCAGCCAATTGCGGTACACCAAGCAGGCCTAACCACAGCAGATTGAATACTTGACCGTTATTCAGTTGCGTCTCATCGGGTAGACCATTGTGTATTCGCTGATGCAAATGATCGAGCACAAGCATATCGGACCAGGAATGCTGCAGCAATTTCATTTGGTCGTCAACCTATGGAACGGAGCAAGAGAGATGATCGCGGATAATTTAACATTTTTTTATTTGTTATTGATATAAGCTTGAAAAATGTGTCTAGATAAATTTGAAAAACGTCTTAATTTGTGAGATACAAGACAAATTTCAACGAAGCCTATTTTTAGCTTTAACTCGACGTTAAGATAAAACCTTTAAGATGAACACATTCAGGAAATAGTGATTTAAAAATAGCACCTCTCCGAAAAAAACATTAATTAGGTTACAGCGCAGCTAATGGGTGATCCAAGCCAGATCACGATGGTGTGATATGATACCGTTAGACTTTTTCTTGCGGAGATATGTAAAGTCCAAAGTCTATGCGGATGATTACGCTTCGATTCAGGTCTTGGGGCAAAATATAACGCGTGTCACTTGCCAATTACCAGTCGAATTGCTCGAACAAGTCATCGAAAATTAGACTCAACGGATGGACCATCTAAAACGTAGCCACGGCTAACATTCGAAAGATATAATCCTCAAAAAATTAATTATTCCTTCGAATAATACTAGACATTTCCCATTAAATTTGAAATTTCTGTGATTTTTCTTAAAAAAAAGAAAGGTAACTCGAAATGTATCACCCTTTATATCAATGCTTTTATTCCGTTTCTCCACAGTTAATTGAAAACATGTAAAAGGTTTTAAATTATTTCCAGATTCGCCGCATGAAACATGCATTCCGAGGAGAATAAATTTTGAAATTCGGAACAGTGTTTTTCAGATTGGATTGAATGCCGGTCTCATAAACAATAATTCTAAAATATTGAGTTGTAACCAGTGCAGAAACTTTGTGGTAATATAGCAGAGAAAACGAGAACTTTTAATCAAAATACATATTGTTTTTTAAAAATTGATCTTGTGTCTATTCCTGCGAAACACAAATAATTGAGAAGTAAACACAAAAAACATTGAGAAGTAAACATTTTCAATAGACTACAATTCTGATGACCAGGAAGCTCTTAAAAAATTGACAGATCTAATTACCATTACTTTCCCTTCTTGATGTTATTAAATAAATAAAGGAGGTGGATGAAAGTAGAAACGATTATTTACTATCGAGAATCTATGATTTCGGTTCGGACATAGTATGCCCTATAAAGCGTTAAGTTCTGGTTTTTGATATCCTAAACTCTTCTAAAAATTACTAAATTAGAATTCACTCAATTTGGACAGAGCTTTAATGCCTGCTTCGCGTGAAGCGGAGCTTTAAGCGCTCCGCAGAGAGCATTCGCTGTGACAACGCGCTCAGAAAACGGGCAACAGCAGAAGACGCGTGAGCGCTGCACCAAATCGCAGCTTACATTGGCGGCTTCAGATTTGGAAACAAGTTTCATGCAGCACCCGATGCGAGCGATGCGTACGCGCCAGCGGCAACGGCACGTCAACGCAACGCCATCTTCAATGCAATCACTGGCATCAGCGGCGGCGGCCGCATTTTGTTGCGTTGCGTGTCCGTGAATGTGCGCGCGCGCACACCAACACAAACAAGCGATTTTATTAAAAAAATATTGGCATATGTATTTGTGTGAAAAATAAAGCGCACACACACACATGCAAGCGAGCGATAATCGAGCGCAAAGTGACTCGGTCGATGCGTTGCGGTTGTATTGGTGGAACCTTTGTGCAATGTGTTGTTGCGTCATGAGCATGAATTGCCTGATGACTGTGTGGTTGTGTGTGGATGTGTACGTATGCTTTGTTGTTGCTCTGTGTGTGTGTAGCACGTTCAGTTCACTCCGTTCAGCTTTGGTTGGTAAGTAGGTCAGCCAAGCAATCAGTCAGTCAGCGAGCGAGTCAAGCAACAAGCAACAACAGCAGCAGCAACAAAAGCAAGCAAAAAGCTGCAACAACAACAGACATGGCAGCCAGCATGAGCAAGCAAACGAAACCGAAACTTAATTCAGACTTGAGTATATTGTTGCTCTTGTTGTTGCTGTTACTGCCTCTTTAGCTGTTTTTATGTTGCCACGCTCTTGTTGCTATTGTTGTAGTCGCCTAACGTCCCTTACAACACCGGCACCATCACCCGCCGCCCTCAGCCTATGACCTGTGCTGGCGCGTTTACATAATCGCTACGGCGCGCGCGTATAAAATCACAGACGCAAGCAACAAAAAGTAACAACAACAATAACTAGTTAAGTAAAAAACAAAAGCGAAATACACGAAAAATAACAAAAAATAGACAATATTATGTACAGAGCGCCAACAACAACAAATTGACCGTGGATTACGTATGAGCTCGCGGCGCTTGAGCCGTGCACTTAATGGCGTTTATTTTAAGCCACATTTGGGAATTTTTAATTTTAGACTTTTTATATTTTCGTTTTTTCGTGCTCTCTTTGGTCAAGCGTTCGCTTTGTCTGCCGCGTTGCTAGTGCGTACCCACCTTAAGATCCTTGAAGAAGACTGTGTTTCTAGCCCAATCCACCTGCGAGAACAGATTTTGGTCCAACACTTTGCACATCAGCTCGAAGAGATCAACTTCCACTTGATTGTAGGTTTGTTTTTGTAGCAGCGCAAAGAGCTGGGTCTGCCATTCTCTATCATCTATCGATTGCACGAAATCACGTATCATCGGTGACACCCTGCGTTTGCAATACGAGTGAGAGATTATCATTAAAATAACACTTCTTTTTAAAAAATTGTTTAAACTCACCTGAGGGGCTCGATGATGGAGTCAGCTGTGCTTGAAGGATGCGTGCCAGAGTCGAAACTGTAACAACAATAATGAAGATTATTACTAAATGGTGCTAAATTGTTATTAGTGAGAGCGAAAAATAGTATGCTTGTTAATGATTATTCATATCAAATGAAGAGAGAGGTGCCGTTTTGTAAATATCTAATTTGACTTTTCAATACCTTTACAGTCATTTTAAGGCTAGATTAGATATTATAAAAATAATAGTACATTTTTAACTTAATTGCTTGCACGAAACAGGTAATAAAATTCGACATAAAAAAACATTTACTACATCAAATTTTTTAAATAAAAAATATGAAGAAGTATGAAATAAATGTTTGTGAAATAAATATGAAATTATTTTGACGTTAAAATGAGTAAATTTTTAATATTTTTTTTTAACAAAGTTCTTGCAGAAAACTTAAATGTAAAAAATAAAATAAAAATTATCTAAGAATTT